GTATGTGAAAATTTGAAAACAAATGAAATTGAATGTTGAAATTTTGGAGGGATAATAAAATATAATGCACTAATAATAAAATTAAATGTTGTTCTTGCTCTTTATATATATATCTATATCTATATATATATAATAAAAATTAACATTTACCATAAATAGTAGTAAGAAAAGTCAAACCACATTCATTATATACTATTTTCAGCAATTTCTTTATTATACATTTTAATTTTAACTCATTATCAAAAAATTGGATGGTTTCTAAATTAATGGGTTTTAGATGCTTTCAAAAATTATAAAATCATTTAAAATCGGATAGTTCCTAAATTAATGTTTACAAACTTTTCAAAGTTGTAATCTTTATGGCATCTTTTCTTTTTGATTTTAATAATAAAATCATTTTAAATATATATATTCTAATTCAAAAATTCAATCATGTTAATATATATATATGTAATATATATATATATATATATATATATTGAACGCTAAAAATATTCTTTAAATTGCATACCCAATCAATTAATCTTGATTTTTTTTAAGTTACTATGTTTATTTTTTATTAATATGCATAAAATAAAAATAAATAATTCATCTTTAGATATATAATTTACAATCTTAATATACTATTATTTGGTGTAGACATATGAATGATAAAAATTTTTTATTTCATAAAATTAAATATTATATCTAAAGAAAATAAGGAAATTACTTTGGATCAATCGGGTGATTGAATTAGGGTACTGCCAACGTTGACTGAATACTTTTAGGTGATATTTAAAATAGTCAAAAACTTTGAAACAACTTAGTTGGTCCCAGGTAACTAAGTTATATATCAGTTTGACCAGACCAAATCGATTATTGAACCTAAATATAAATTTTAATATTGAAAATACTTTATAACGTGAATGTGATGTAGTCCAAACTTTAAATAATCATATTAACAATACTTTTATGACAACATGATTAATGATTTATGAACATTTATATATCATTTTATTATTATTATGTGAACAAAATAATTATTTTATTATATTTTTTTATTAATGTACGGTAAATATAAGGTTTTCAGAACCGTACCGTCATCGAAACGATCAAGTTATTTTATTAAATCATTTGTGGTTGTTCAAATTTTAATACATAATACTTATATATATATATATATATTTAGTACTTTTTGTAATTAATTTAAATAAAAAGTTTTACTTAAATATCTAAATAAATTATAAATCCAAATGTTTAAATTAATTGTTAAACAATTTATAGATCTCTATTTTATTTAAATATGTAATTTTATTTAAAATTATTTTTAATGTAACAAAATTTGTTTAGAAAATCGTATCGATCCTACCAATCCACAGACTGGTGTTGAAGATTCGATAGCAAATATTTTATTTAAGCGCACTAGACTGGTTATAAACCGGTTCTCGGTCCATCCGGTCAGACTGTGTCCAACCCGGTTTAATTTAAAAATAATGGATAAATCATGATTAATATTATTTATTTATTCAATTTATAATACAATCAAATATTATTTTCCCGTGCATCGCACGGACCACGCACTAGTAGATAGACAATAGAAGAAAAAAATAACAAATTAATGCTTCTGGCTAAATGTATCTTAATTTATCCTTAATTAACCAATGTCATAAACTTTCAACATAAGTTCACATTAATGGTCAAAGCCACCAAATATTAATATTCATAATATTATCAAATAATAAAAATGAATATCTTCACAATAACCTATATCCCACATAATAATAACTAGTACAGAGCCCGTGCAATGCACGGGGTGCACAATTTTAAGGCTATTTATCCAGGCTTATAATTATACACATGAATAAAGAAAAATGTACGGGATATATATAGTACGTGACCCGTGCGAAGCACGTGATACATTTATTTGGAGAATATTATATTATACGATGCAATATTCAATAAAAGTTTATAATACGCAAGAAAATTGTACAATGTTCAATAAAAGTTTTATAATATTCAAGTGGAGTCTTAAAGTCTCTTGTACATTAAGACTACTGACAAAATAATATTTTAATCAATGAGTTTCCTTTTCTTGTAGCCAAATTGTGATTGTGATTTGAGGAGTACAACAAATCGATATATAGTTGACTTGCTTTTTTCATTGTAATTTTTTTTTCTTTTTTATTTTTTCTAATGAATTTAAAGATATTCTAAAATATAGCAAAAATTAATTTTTTTATTACAATTAAGAATTTTACTAAATATAGACTCTCAATCTATGGTGTTAATCAATGTTTAAGTCTAAAAAATTAGGAACTTTTACCTCTTTTAATCAACGTTTAAGTCTAAAAAACAATAGAGTTATTATAAGTTTTTTTCTACATCTTTTAAAACATTAAATATGAACATGTTAGGGCTAGCTTGTAAAATAATTAATATATTATCTCACTAAAACATTTATACTAATAAAAATTAAATTTTAGCATATAAATTTATCACTTGATATAAGAGAAAGTAACAGTTTTACTTATTGTTGTTCACCATATAATATTTAATTATTATTTTATTATATAATAAAAAAGGAATATTGTTAAATAGTGTAGTAAAATTGTTATAAAATTATATGATTTTTTTTTTTACAATATGGATTTAATATTTTTTTTATGATTTGATAATATAAACAAATCTATACTTAACTTTAACAAATAAAACAAATAAATACTTTAGTAAGTATTTAATGTATATACTAAATACGAATATATTTGGTATAATCAAATACCAAATATAATCAAATAAGTCAAAGTGTACATTTTTATTTGGTATTTGATTTTTTTATTATTAAAATATTTTTATTATACTTACCTTTTTAAAATAAAACAAATAAATAAATTGATTAAATAAATAAAATATTATAATACCAAAATAACAATGACATTTAATGCAGTTGACTTTTCTGGATAGTAAATGTAATAAATAGAATCTCTTTTTATATAAGTATAAATATAATATTATATTATATTGCTCAAAATAGTAATGCATTTATTACATTGACTTTTCAACTTACTAAATTTCATAAATGGTACACCTTATTATATAAACTAGTATAGATCCCGTGCGATGCACGGGGTGCACAAAATTAAGGCTATTTATCAAGTTTTATAATTATATAAATGAATAAAGAAAAATGTACAGGATATATATAGTACGTGACCTGTAATAGGCCAAAATGTGAATACGGGTGATGCACGGGGTGCATAATTTTAAGGTCATTTATTAGTACAGAGTCCGTGCGATGCACGGGGTGCACAATTTTCTAGTATGTGTAATACAAATACATACCGTATGCACGGGACAGAAGCACTAAATGAGTTATTTCTACATAGCTTGCCGGTTAAGTAGCTCCTGAATACGGGTGCACAATTTGTAGTACGTAATATAAAATCAGAACAGATTTCCATACAATTAGACAATAAATTAGATAATAAATAAAGCTTTTTTATTTTAATAAAGATTTTACGTACTTTTTTTTACATATCGGATGTTATGGGATTTTTTTTGTTAAACCGATTTTATCGGATATGATACAAATACAATTAGAGGATTACACAAAATCAGAACAGATTTCTATACAATTAGATAATAAGAATGAATTAGATAAGGAAAAAAAGAAATTAGATAAAGAATTTTGAATCTACTTTTTTTTAGTATAGATAGACTTTACGTACAAATTTTGACTTCACCGATTTTATAAGATTTGTTTTGACAAAATCAAAGATGAATACTGAAGACTGTTTCTATTAACATTTACAATGTGTATTTAATTTTTTTTTTTTGGCAAAATATTCTTTTTAAGTGTGATATATAAATATTAAAAATACTTAAAATATTTAAAAATACTTAAAATATTTTATAACATCTATAAAAGCATCTAAAATATTCTATATTATTCACAAATAATGTTTGAAGCTACCTAAATTTTTCTAAACTACCCGTAAGGAAAATATGTCTAAAAATTCTTCATTTAACCTTCATATATATATATATATATAGAGAGAGAGAGAGAGCAAATGTGTAAAAAAAAATTATACAAATAATATTTAAAAGTATCTAAAATATTAGTAATGAGACAGGTGAAATTTACATTTTAAAAAAATCTATATAGATAATGGATTTATATTAGTAATTAGACTTTTATTTATACGATAGATGAGGGATGTGATTTTTTTTACTCGTGGAGATGAAATTTTATAAGCTGGGTTATGAAATTTTCTTAAACTCGTCCATGCGATGAGTTTTTTAAGCTGGGTATATAGATTTAAAATTGTAAAAAAAAAAAAACTTTCATAAATCATTTGATTTGGTATTTTCGGAGAGCTTCATTAATTTAAAAGTGTAAAATAAATAAATAAAAAATGTACAACTGAAAAAGATACAACCAATTGTATGGAAAATTAAACTAAATCTAATTTTGTAGGATGCATTAAATATTGATTAAATTTTATATGTAAAATAAAATAAAAAAATAACTGGAATAGTTGTAAGTGTTGCAATATTTTATATTTAAAAAAATTAAAAAATCTTCATTTACGTATTGCATATTTACATTTTAAGAACTACATAGATATTCCTAAATTAATATTGCATACCCAATATTTTAGGAACTAATTAAATGCTAATTGATTTGCATACCAAAAATATTAGATGCATTACTTAAATGATTGATAAAAATAGCAAATCATTAATTAGGGTTGACTATTCTACATACTACATTTAGTAAATAGTACCCCCTTTAATATAAGTATAGATATAGATAATTATAATAATAAAATAAAACCGTTCACGTACACTTTTTCAAAACCAAATACTGCGTGGGACAAATTCGACAAGAAAATTCAAAGTTGCTGACCGCGCGGTCAGCAGACTGAACGGCAGATATTTCGACACGTGTACGAACAAGAATGGCTCGATCAGCTTTTCAGTCCCCAACCAGTCGCAATCATCGCCCGTTTATTCACATATAGCCTCTGCGTACCTTCCCACATTTATCGGCCATATTCCAAAAACCAAATCAAAATAAAAAAGGAAAACCAGCTCCGTGCTTCGAGCAGATTTTCGATCCTCATAGATATTTCTGTATCAGAGTGCTTTTGAATCGATTCGATGGCGAAGTCCTTTAAGTACGTGATCCTCGGCGGTGGCGTAGCTTCTGTGAGTATTTTTATCCGCCGTTGTTCATATCATCGTTGTTTGGTTTGTTGATTGTAGCTTGGTTTTTTTGCTCTTAAATCTGCTTTATTGAGGTTGGCATTTTCTTTAATCGTGATCCGTTACTTTATGCGATGTTTATATGCTGCTTCGATTTCGATTTTTGTTGCTGGAAAATTGAGATTTTGCTCGAGATATGATGTCTGTACTAGGAATGTTTGGAAAGTGTATTTATCGCTCGGTTATTCCTGATTTTGCGCATTGTTATTTGGTTCTGTTATGAATTTTTATCATTTGTTTGGATGCGTTGTGGTTGAACATTGACCATTGTTATATGTTTTGTTTATTTTTTCTGTGTATATATAGTGGAAATTTAAATGTGTAATTGTATAGATGTCTTTTGGTGTTTATTATTCGTATAGTGGTTTCGGTAATGCTTAATTTGTCATGTAATGCCTATGATCTTCCGACTTTGAATGAAGGTCGACAATGAAGTGCAATTAATGATAAAAAGATTTACCAACACCTTTCCTTTTGCTTTTAAATATATCTTTGGAAATGAGTGAAAATATCGACTGGCGGCGCATACAGTTGAAACTAGCAGTATGTAACCTGAATTTGTTCATTGTTGCAGGGCTATGCTGCTAGGGAGTTTGCCAAGCAGGGAGTCAAACCTGGTGAACTGGCTATCATATCCAAAGAGGCGGTATGCACCTAAAAACTGTTGATTTGTTTTCTCATTGAGTTCATTATGTGTTATGACACTTTTTTTTCTTGAATATGTTCGTCAGTGGCCCTTGGTAATGAGCATGATACATTTGTTGGTACTTGTTGTCAACAAATAGATTGTACAGATAAGCTGCTCATAAAGTAGATTACACTTGTATCTGGGGCAACATAGTAGTAATAGAGTAGTAAGCATGAAATGAAGAGTTTAATTTGCAGGGATTTTTATATGAATATATTAGATTCCCCTTCTGTTGAGAGTCGAAAATGTGAGCATAGTAAAGAGTAAGAATGAACAATAAGCTGGTGTTCCTTGTGGTTCTGAAAAACTTCGCTTTATAATTGAATGAAACAAAACATTCGATAGATGCTTGGAAAACAAAGATAAAATGCATATAGTGATAAAATATATTTGGTTAATATTGTACATATCAACTAAAGGACAACACTGGATGTTATTCCTCACTCCATTTCTCAATTCGAACATGCTTCAGAAAAATATGAAATATGAATCTTCCTGAAACAATTTTTTCCACTTTATTCCTTGTGAACTTTTCTTTGTTTTCCTTGTGTTGGTTTCTTAGCTGCCATGCTTTCCGTGCATGTTATTCATGAGCACTGGAGCATCCTTGTTCCCTTGTAATAAAGTGTGTTTTGATTTATTTATTCACATATACTAGTACGTACCCCGTGCGATGCACGAGATAGAGATATTACATGAGTTATTTTCATAGGCTCTGTCCGGTTAAGTCTAAAAAGCAATAGGATTATCATTTATTTTCCACCTCTTTTTTATCAGCATTAAAGTCTAAAAAACAATAGAGTTATAATATATTTTCCACCTCTTTTATCAATGTTGTTTTTTAGCTAGAATATTAAATACGAGAATGTTAGGGCTAGTTTGTAAAATAATTAATTTGTAATCTCACTAACACATTGGTACTAATATTAAATTTGATTTTAGTATATATATTTATTCCTTGATATAAGGAAAAATAGCAGTTTTACTTATTATTGTTCACCGTATAATATTTAATTATTTTTTATTATGAACTTTGTTGTCATATAATATGATTATTATTTATCAAAGTTGTAGAAGTTGTACGTCTTCTTTTATTTTTATTTTATGTAATGAAAAATATTTAATGCACGTTAGTATATTTATTTATGTAATCAATTTAAAATATGCAAATAAATTTAAATTAAATAGTGTATAAATATTTTACAAAATATACACACATATTTTCTTAGAATTTAATTTTGTATGCTAATTAAACAACTTTGATTTAGCAAATGCCAAAATCTCAATCCTTTCTATAATCAAGATTTTTCTAATTTGCATTATAAGGATTTATAGTTTATTTAACATACTCTGCAATGAAAATATATTTTACAAAAATTTCATTCTAGAAAGAAATCAAAATAAGAAAAATGATAAAAAAAAATAATCATGATTTCCAATAATATACAATATATTCTAGAACAATTAATATATTTTAATTTTAATTTTTGACCATTAGTAAAACTATTTAATGTATCTTATCATTATCTCTTAAATGGTAAATTATATTAATTTGAAGAATAATTTATTTTGTATATATAACGAAATAAAGCTTAAGAAATAATTATATCATCAAAGATTAATTCACCAATTTGATTTCGCAAATTACCTAACCTGTTACGATTTTCTATAAATTTTTTTAGATAAAAAGTGAATATTTGTGAAACAAAATTAATATTATGGTTAGAACTTAAAATACGTTGTAATATTTATCTTGACCAAAATATTATCAACATGAATCACGGAAAATCAATTTACTATAATGGATATCAATAAAATTATTGCAGATATTAATAAAATTATTTAAGGAAACAATATTTTTCATCATATCTGATCGTATTTGAAAACGTGTATATTGAAGTAATTAATGCATATATTTAAAAAGTTTCTAAAAAAAGGTATGCATTAAATGCTCTCAAATTTTTTGACTACTAATTTTAGTAAATGGTTATTCTTATTATATATATATATATATATATAGATAGATATAGTTATTAATGGATCGCGTGCTTGTTGATTGTTTCAGGTGGCTCCTTATGAACGTCCTGCACTTAGCAAGGCTTACCTATTTCCTGAGGGTGAGTTGGTAGTTACCTTCAGTTTTTCAGTTAATTACAAAGTGAAGCTGGTGCCATGGCAAAATCTGTTTTTCTCTCTATAAAAATTCTAATGATGTTGTTTCGGGATCAAATCCATTTATAAGGGGAAAGAGCACTTGTCCCCAAAGACATTTGCTAGAACATGTGCACATACCTTTATGTTTTTGAATAAATGTATGATGAAGTATGGCATCACGATGCCCTGTTAAAGTCTCAGTATCCACTAATATCGTTTCCTTGTCAACGTTTACTTACTCTCCCATCTATATCATTCAATGCATATCCGTTTTGTCAGATATGTTTGACAAGTAGCTGAATTTATTGTACATAATACTGTCTTCAGGAACTGCTAGGCTTCCTGGTTTCCATGTTTGCGTAGGAAGTGGAGGAGAGAGGCTACTTCCAGAATGGTACACTGAGAAAGGTAATACATCTTCTTAACCATATAATATCTACCAAAATTAGCCGATCGTGTTATTTTGTGATTAAATGCATAGGTATTGTTGCTCATCTCAGATGTTCATGGAAGACTGCAAGAATCTCACGTTAGCCCCTTATCTTGTTATATTGCAGGGATATCTCTGATCCTGAGCACAGAAATAGTGAAAGCCGATCTTTCTTCAAAGACACTTATCAGTGCGGCTGGAGAATCTTTTGAATATCAGATTCTGATTATAGCAACTGGTTCTACCGTTAAGTGACACGTTCATTGGAATTTGTCATAATTATATTTGATTTTATAATAATTATGATTGATTTGATTTATTTTTAGCTTGTGTCGTTTAATTTTTGGGTAGTGGGCCTGTTTTTGATTGTATGTATTGCTTTGTCCAGGTTATCAAATTGACGGACTTTGGTGTACAAGGCGCTGATGCCAAAAACATCTTCTATTTGAGAGAAATTGATGATGCTGATAAACTTGTTGAAGCAATCAAGGCAAAGAAAAATGGAAAGGCTGTGATTGTTGGTGGGGGCTACATTGGTCTGGAATTAAGTGCAGCTTTGAGAATCAACAACATTGATGTCAGCATGGTTTACCCTGAACCTTGGTGCAGTAAGTCAAATCTACCACTTTTTTTTCCAGTTAACATATTCTCTTTCAGTTGGTTAATTTATAATCGTTCCAGCCTTTGGCAGTCATTCGACTTTACATAAAAATATACTAAATATTTTATTGTACAGTGCCTAGGCTATTCACTGCCGGCATAGCTGCCTTCTACGAAGGTTATTATGCAAATAAGGGAGTCGGTATCATCAAGGGCACTGTAGCCGTTGGATTTGGCACGAACGAAAATGGGGAGGTTAGTTCTTACTTCTCAAGCATATGAGACTTAACATTTCTTGATCATCAATTGCATTGTGATTACACTCTTCATAAAGTAACATGCGACAGTTATTTATTTATCCACGTGTTTTCAGGTTACAAATGTAAAACTTAAGGATGGTAGGGTTCTAGAAGCTGATATTGTTGTTGTTGGTGTGGGTGGAAGGCCCCTCACAACTCTATTCAAGGGTCAGGTTGAAGAGGAAAAGGGTGGCATCAAGGTGTGTTAATTAAATTTTCTTTCTCTCATATCTCAAACCATTTTCTTTGTTTGTCTTGTAACTCCACAATTATCACCAAAGAGATTCGATGATGAATTTTTTTTCACCGGAATGCTTGTTTTGTCGAGACTGAAACATCAAATTCTATGTCACTCCGTTTATTTGGGAATTTAATTTTGCTCAAGAATATTAACCAAAATCACGACACCAGTTTAACCAGAGGGCCCTACCCTTGGAGAAAAAATATGTATTATAGTTCTTAACCAGACCTGTTTTTGGTTCAATGTTTATATAATTTTGAAATACGAACGGGAAATAAATGTTTATTTATCCCATGGCGTTTAAAATTTGCAGACTGATGCCTTCTTCAAAACAAGTGTCCCGGATGTATATGCTGTGGGTGACGTTGCTACATTCCCCTTGAAGTTGTTCAACGAGATCCGAAGAGTTGAACATGTCGATCATGCACGGAAATCAGCTGAACAGGCCGTCAAGGTATTTTTTGTTGTTTTATTTTTTATTTTTATATGCCTTCACATATTTAAAAATTTCTGTTTTCTGGGACTACTAGTTTTATAAAACTCAAATGTAAATGTTGATCCACGACTCCAATTACTAAAATCGAATATTAACCTGATGCGCGTATTTTTCCAGGCAATTTTCGCCAGCGAACAAAAAACATCCATCGACGAGTATGACTATCTCCCGTACTTCTACTCCCGAGCGTTTGACCTGTCATGGCAGTTCTATGGTGACAATGTAGGGGACACCGTTCTATTTGGTGATAACGACCCGAAATCTTCCAGCCACAAGTTCGGGACTTATTGGATCAAAGACGGTAAGGTTATCGGTGCTTTTCTCGAGAGTGGCACTCCCGAAGAAAACAAGGCTTTAGCGAAAGTTGCACGGGCCCAGCCCACAGTCGACAGTTTGGACCAGCTAGCTAAGGAGGGTCTTGCCTTTGCTAGTAAGGTTTAATTAAATTCCTCATGAAGTGATATTTGAATTTGAACATATTTGAATTTGTATCTGTTTCACATATCTGTTTTATATGTGTGTGTGTGTTTGTTTGTGATATTAAGACACCAACGTGCTATGAGCCATTAGGCTATCTATATTAAAGCATATATACGTGGGAGTATGAAATCTATTGACTTGTCTCAAAATCCATTCTGCAGTCGCTTTTTTGCTGGCATTGTGGTCCTCTTTTGTTATTTGTCTGGTCTTATTTCACTCGTGGTCTTATTCACGCATATATTAAAATGGTATAAATTGGAAGAATGCAAGGTTTTGGACTTTATGATCACTTTTCAACTACCTTCACAATTATGCCTGACCAAGTGGGACTAGTCCAACTATTGGCACCGTCATCGTAAAAACTCACACACGCGTAGTGTGAAAAGCCTGGCATGTTCCAGAATTTGACTAGTATGAAATTTCTCTTAGAGAGAAAAAATAAAATAAAATGAATGAAGTAGTTGAGAATACAACAACAATATAGCCTTTAGTCCCAAGCAAGTCGGCGTAGGCTAGAAATGAAACCCAAGAGAAACACAAAAAGACTCAAACCAAAAGGAAGAGATCGGGAAAAAAAAAAAAAAAACGAGAGAGAGAGAGAGAAAGGAGCAAAAGTCACGGTTCTGGCACGTTGATAGCGAGCCTCCAAGCGCTCCTATCCACCGCTAAATCCTTGGAGATATTCCAATCTTTAAGATCTCTCTTAATCGACTCTTCCCAAGTGAGTTTAGGCCGACCTCTACCTCTGTTAACATCCTCGACTCACTGTAAAACTCTCCTACGCACCGGTGCATCAGGAGCCTCCGTTGGACATGTCCGAACCACCTCAGCCGATGTTGAACCAATTTCTCCTCAATTGGGGCCACCCCGACCCTATCTCGAATGAAGTCGTTGAGAATAATTCGAGTTTTTTTTTTTACAAAAAATAATTGTGAAAGGTAGTTTTATGGTTAGACAGAATCCGTTATATTTTTGAACAAAAATGCACTTATACGATTATATTTCATACCTTTATTTTATGTATAATGTATGCTGCTTATATATGCACTTATACGATTAAATTTCATACTTTTATTTTGTGTATAATGTATGTTGCTTATATATGCACTTATACGATTAAATTTCATACTTTTATTTTATGTATAATGTATGTTGCTTCTTATATACTCCCTCCATTTTGAAATAAAAGGCATTTAAGGTTATTGCAAAAATATTAAGGAGACATTAATTAATGAATAAATTGACTAAATTAACCTTATTTACTCTAATCACAACCACTCCACACTTCCTTAATATCAACACAATGAGGGTATATTTGGAAAAAAATGCAAAAATTTGTCTTGATTTTTGAGCGCGCCTTATATTTCAAAAAAAATGAGAAATCTTTATACGCCTTATATTTCAAAATGGAGGGAGTATATTTTATGCATATATGTTAAAAAGGCACTACAACCTAATGGTTAGACCTGACCAACTGCAATTCTGGCGTATTTTGTTTGGTATGTGTATTGTTAAGCAACTTACTTTTATATACTATTTGGGAATGTAAACTACAATGAATGAGTCAAAAGAAAAAGGAAAATCTAAAATGGGAACAGAATTCAGAAACATATAGTCTCCCAAGAAAAAAAATGAAGTATAAAAATTAAATCATGTCAAGAACTAAATATAACTGGATTTTAGATGGTAACATCACAGGGACAAGTGTGGAGGAGAAATTAATTCAATAAGGACGGATCATTAAATTTTGAGCTACCATAATCCCTTTCAATGTCGCAGCTGGCATTTGTGTTTGGAGGGGAAAGGAGGACCAGAATTAATGCTGATGTGATAACAATGACTGATTTTAAAGCTTTGTACCACCCGTCAATGGAAGAACTGAAAGCAAAGACTGATTTTTTCACTAGTTGCTGTTAATTGTAATTGTTCCTACTCAGCTTTTACGGGTTGTTATAACTATATATTTTTAGTGTAAGGTTAAGTAACTGGTTTAAATGTTTAATCAATATAATTACTAATTAAGTAATAACACAGTTACTTATACGAGCTGGTTTGAACATTAGGTTGACCGACTCATCATATTTTTTCAACAAAAATTGTAATAATATGATATAAAATTTTATACTTTTATTTATATTGTTTATTAAAGTACGTAATTTCAAATTGAAATTATTCATATATGTTACAAAAATATGATCATCTAACTATAGGGTCTAACAAAAAGGCTTTACTAACTATTGAACATCTCGTATTATTATTATTATTATNAAGATGGCATGGACAATTTACGTCCAGCCAAGTAAAATAAAGTAATTTGGTTTGTCAGCCAACTTGCACCATGTTCATGCCTGGTATTGTCTTCCAACAATAGTATATATATATCATCACCATCACCTTTTACTTGTCAATGATAAGGATTATTTCATTAAAATAGACTAATTGACAGCATCTGAGAAACTGAATAATACTAGACCGAGACATAATTATTTTGAATGGAATATATACATATACACATATATATATATATATATATAAGAATATTTAACAAAATTTAAAATTATTGGAATATAAAATTCACCTATCTACATTATATATCTTAGTTATAAGTATTTCAATTGCTAATATGGTGGCAAATAGCTCAATCACTAGTTCACTACAACTGTTAAATGAAAAATCATTCTCCAGCTCTCTTTTGTTAAGGTTTGAAAATATATTTTCTTTTATAAAATTTATTATAGTTTGGCTAGTTAGGACTTGAGTTCGATCATTAATATTAGTCCGGTCGGGAACATGCATGGTAGAATATGTTTTACACGAGCACAATATGCAAATTTTATCGTATATATTGATTGGTTATCTCCTTTTTGTTTCACCTCAATATTATCAATACAATTTTTAAAATAAAAGTAATCACTATTACATATTATTCATAAAATTTATTATTTATTCATTAACACACTATTATTATTATTTTCATATCATTTCACATTTGATCAATACATCATCTAACTTCCAATCAAACTAAGTCTTATTTCCTCCGATTTGTTTCACCAAATAATACCTTTCTACATATAGAGAAAAAAATTATTGAACCAAAGTATATATACTATCCAAGAACAACATTTAATTTTTCCATTAAAGGTGCTGGTACAGTATTGTAAACACAAAATAAATAAATAATCAGTTAAAATGCTGAAAATATTGTCATTCTTTTATTTTTTTCCCCCTCGAACAACTTCAAGAAAATTTTATCTTCCATTACAAGTTGTCAGCAAAAACGAACATTGATGGAGAGTAATTGACATCAAAATATATATCGCTCTTTACCTATTAAAAAAAATAAAATAATCCTCTTTGCTAATTTGCTCTACCCTTTGATTGATCCTTAATGGATATCTTGAATCTTGACTCAATAATTAATAAATTGTCATAAGAAAATGACAATTTTGACAGTGTGGAATTTTATAAATAAGAGACCCTGAATCAAGTGTGATTACAGAATTAATAAACGAAAGACAAAACAATGCAAGAGGCTGACATGGATAATTTGATAATTTCTTTGCACGCTGAGATATCTGTTACACATATATTTTATATGCTGTAGTTGAATTATGTTGTTGGTGGATATGGATTAAAACATTTAGAATGGACCAAGATTAATAATTTACATGTCACACAGAAAATGAACAATGTTTTTATTTTTTAACCTACCTGTAAATGACTTTTTATCTTATATATAATAATTATTTAAATTTAAATTTTATACATCAAGGTCTTAATATTATTATATCATATAATAAATATTTACCACAAAGATATATATATATATATATAAATTTTATATATAAAATAAATATATTTTAAAAAAATAACAAATAATAATATAATGAGAAAATATAAATAGCGGAGTCAAACAGGGTTGACTCAATAGGTCAATGCCCGGGTCAACCAAATTTTGACTGAATTGACGAAATACCGGCTCAAACGAAATCACTGGCCTCGAGTCAATGAAAAAACATTGAATACATACGCTTCAGTTGAGGATAAATTGATATTTTTTATATGATTTATTTTAAATTGATATATATACACTATAGTTAAAAATAAAAATAAAATTAATATAAAAATTTTGAGAGGCGGCTGTGGCCACCCTTAATTATTTGGGCCTCCATGTATGAATCACAATGGTCAACAAATTTGGGGAGAAAAAAAAAAAGAAAAATTGGGAAATATGATATTCAGAGAAGTTTCATGTAAAGATAAAAGATTAATTTATTTTAATCAAAATGTTCCTCATTTTTATATCGATATTGGTAGTATTTCAATAGGTGGGACCAATTCGGTTCTTGCGTATAAATTAATGAAACGATTTACTCGATGGTTTAGTTATTGTTTGGGTTTTTAGTATTTTTTTGGATTTTTTTTTATTTTGTTTGGCAAGATAGATTTCATAAATAAACACGTAATTACAATAGACTAATAACTAGTAGAATGAGAGAGGCCTACCAAATGTAGTCTAAATTTCAACATACTACAAAAACACATAAAAATAAGGCAAATTTTCACCTATACCATATGATTTGGAAAAAAATTGCACTCTTTCCACATGACATAACTTATTTGTAAATTCCATAACAATTAACTGTAAAGATGCACTATATCAGTTACCAAATATAATCAACTCCTCTCCTTGAATTGCGCATGGCATGATTTTTTTTTCCATTAAAAAAAATCAAAACAAAAATTATATGTGGTAAGTTTATATATCCTACGTAATATGATGTTGTTTCACTACAAAATAGAAAAAGAAGACATTTAAATTTCAAACTACATCATCTTCCAAATATATACAAACTACTCGATCGATAAATATTTTTAATGAATAAATTTTGAAAAATATACAAAATATTAAGTTTAATGAATATATACGTATTATATACTGGACATGAACATGCATTTGCAAAATAGCATGTTGTGAACTTATACAAAACATATACTAAACTTATATACATACATTTGAAATGACAAAAACAACATGTTGGGAATTTATACATAACATATATTGAATTTATATATGTATACATATCATATACTGGACATGAACATACATTTTTCAAAGGCATAAAAACCAGTCAAATTTATTGTGTTAATGGAGGAGAG